TTCGCACCTATGCCTGGCGTCAATCGATACGCACAAAAGACGTTGCTGCTCGCAGCGTCTTATCGTCAGCTATAGCCACCCATCGTCAGGTATATCTCAAGCCTTAAGCCTCAACACTTTTTTATCAAACCACTGTGTGATGCTTGGGCTTTCCCAACAACCCTCATCTAATTCTAAAAATGTTGTAGAAAGTAGGATATAAGAAAGCACTTAGATCATGTCATAAGCCGCATCGCTGCTTCCAGTGTAATCGAAAGATTCCTAAAATGAGCCTTCATATATATAGGAACTAATTTTTTATCAGCAAACCCTATCAAAGAAAGCGACGACAACATGACCATCAGATGAATTAGCCGCCCTTTCAAAAACTTCCAAATGCTGTCCAATAGCTCGCGTAGTCGCTAAGAGTGCGATAACAAATGTGAGCACACTAATTTTACCAGGTGAGACTTCCGGAATGATAAAAACTGTCCAAATGAAAAAAGATTTGAGATTATAAGTACCAAGCTGCAAAGACAGCAGCACCGTGAACCTACCCGAACACAGAGCATCACATATCTTGTCGTATGAGCTGCAGTTCTGTTGAAAAGTCTGGATGGTAGATAAGCCAAAACGTTCACCCCAACAAGAGGACTATATAAATCACTGAAAACGACATATATTTTCTGCAGAAACCACAAACAAAAACAAAACACTACTCCTTATTTTCGATAGTGAAGCCTAGAAGGCGCGAGAAAGGCGACTTCTCCTATAACAAACTTCGCTCGAACCATCGGCTGTGCTGAAAACTCCAAAAGAAGCAGCACAAAATGGAAACGATACAGATGATGCACCGCCGCTTGGAACATTGAACAAATCGTGACACTAAATAAACACGATTACATGCACATATGTAAAACAATATGAAAAATGGCAGAATTTTGCATTAACGTGTTCCTACATGCTTGGTTCAGTTTCTTCCCTGATGTATAACGATAGTGAGAGTCGAAAAATTGTACACATATGCAAACTTCTAAACTTAGCAGGTCGCGTAAGCAGAAAACTTGAGCAAACCAAGGCGGTCGGGCAGGAGGCAGCAAAGGCTCGCCGCTTCTGCTTATGGAAGTACCTGGGGAACTTCAGACTTCCTCGCACCTCTAATCACTTCTTCGCACTTCTAATTACTTGACGTGATATGTTAAATTGATCGTTGATTTCTCAAGGCGTGGCAAGTTTTGAGATAGCTTTTATGTTTTGAATTCAATACAAATAAGACCACAAGTTCAAAAAGGAATCATGGATAGCCATTCAAGTCAAATGATCAGAAAGTATAAATTAGTCTATTCAATCTTTAAACCAGAATCTCAAACATGTAAATCTTCAGTTATTCCGATCGAATGCCCTGAACCCAATATTTAAATAGGCTGAAAACGATTATAGCTGAGATTGAAAGAAACTGAAGATTCTCAAACTGATTCAGGGTGAGATACTCTTCAAAAAGATTTTCGTTCAATCCTCTAGCTTGCTAACTAATCAGAGGTGCGAAAAGTGATCAAAGGCGCGAGGAATCTGAAGCTCCCCAGGCACTTCCAGAAGCAAATGCGGTAAGCCTTTGCTGCCTCCTGCATGACGTCCGCAAACCAATGATCCAAAAACTTTGGAACACCCGCGAACATCATTTGAAATTTGAGGGAAAATGATTTTTGTGTTCAAGTACGTAAAGCGCGCAAATGTGTCGTCATACAACAAAGTGCAAGCAAGACAAACCTTGGGCTAATTCAGAATCGTGAACAAGCTTAAGACTAGTAGACATGAAGTAACACGACTCAGACGACCTACTTTACGCCATGTTTGCTCTGTTCATTTGTTCTTTAGAGAGGCAGGGGGAAGCATATTGACGAGAATTTCACTTGAGATAAACAAAACTCTGAGATAATGGGAATAAACATAAGTATTGAAACATCACAACTGATATCCTTGTCGAATTACTTTACACATGGAGAGGAACATACACAAACAGAAACACTATACAACAGCTCTAAACAAAGGAAAACGCGCGACTTAAATTTATATATTCTCCGGTCCACGGTAAAGTGCTACTCTCAACAATTCAGAAAAGACGCCCATGTGAAAGATCTGTGAAATGAGAGGCGGTTTCGTCATCAAATTGAGCAAAAACCAAGGGGAATAATGCTGCTATGTGAAGCAAGGACTATTGTAGGAGGCTGTAAAACTTACCAATTGAGGGCGCCATCTAAATCTACTTAAATGGCTGCGCGGGCGGTCGCGCGCGTGCTCACTGCGCGCCGGGACCACACGGTCGACTGCTGCTAGCTTTGGTAATGAGAAGCTGAGAGACTGTTGAATGTATAGAAGGTGCGCCTTCGCTATTTGTCTAGGTCATAGGCGTGGCCGTTTAATTTTAACTGTTGTAAGACTGCATAGGTGGTGGAAGTGATAGAATTGTTGTAAGCTCCTATAAAGCTAATCATGAATGCTCTCAAAATTGACCATATCCAAAATGATCTCGTCACTCAATCTCAAGTATATTGTGGACATATTTACCATTCATTGTAGTAAAAGAAATCTATCGCTGTGCAGAACACGGGGTAGGAGACTTGAAAACATCATGTTGTGTGACAAGATAATTTGTTTTTCTAAGCTAAATAGTCAGTCATCCAAGACGAGGTAGCCAGGAATCAACTATGTTATAGTTATTCCAGAATCTTCAAATCTGCAAAGAATGATAAGTATCTTCACATACTTAGGAGTTGGTCCTGTGAAGGCCAAAGTTCAAGGGGAGTTTGAGGGTAGGTATAAGTGGCCTATAATCCCTTTTTTTATTAGTTTCCATCATGCAAGGGAACATGTTTTGTCGAAACTTGGTATACAAAAGAAGTTGGATTACACGATAAGTTTTTGTAGCTCCTGTTTCAGAACAGTAGAAGTCCAATAGTGACATCCATTTCTGTGAATTAGTGAGCACATTCAACGAAAACGGTCACAAATGCGATGCTGTTCCTGTTTTGGGCAAGGTTTTGATTTTTGAATGAATAAGATAACCTATTTCTGGTAGTTTCAATGTGCACCTGTTTTGTGCAGTCCCACCCATCTCTACCTGAAAAGGTTTGTACCAATAGCAGTAAAACTATTGAGCACCAGATGATCACCGTATTGAAGCGAAAATCACCTATACATCGCAAGAGCTCCTCAGACATCTGAGCGGAAAGCCGAGCCCTTGGTTCCCGGCACGCAGTGATGGCACGCGCGCGACCGCCCGCGCAGCCGGTTAAGTAGATTTAGATGGCGCCCCAATTGAGAATCGAAGTTGCATATTTACAGGTGATTCGTGCTGAATGCCAACAGATGGTGTCATAGGTGCACGATAAGTTCCTGTATGGAGAAACAAAAATGGTAGCAATACTGATGATAGATAGAAGGAATAAAATCAAACTTCATGAAAACATGTCATTCAGGAGTTCATGTGAGCATCATGACCAAACCTTTTGGTGGACCCGCAGTAATTTCCGAAAGGAATGTACGAGCACAGCCCAAGTTTTTCAAACCATTTCGGACGAACCAGATTACGCTTACCAAGAATGTTCTTCTAGCATCCTTGGTCCCGAGATACCGAAGCTTGTCAAAGATTCCAGCTTTATGTAGCAAGGGTAAGCGATACAGTCTTTGAACACTGAGTCACGATAAAAGGTCAAGAATGCTACAGGGCGGCAATCGCTAATTACTCTGCTTACGAACGACAATTATTGGAAGTAACCTTAATGAAAACCCAACTTGGTGCACTACGAAGATTTTCTGAGACAGTGCGCGTTTCATATCCTAGTAGAGCTTCTGGCATAAATAGAGTGGGGTGCATACAGCGCACTGTTCAGAAAAAAAAACGATTACGCTGCATCATTCGATGGGCTGTTAACCCATGTTCTTGTACGTTAAAAAGGATTTTTCAACAAAATGAGCTTAATTCTGCGCATATGAAGTACGGCTGCAATACAGAGCTCGATGCAATTTAATAGGTGACTAACTGCTTGAAATCGCAGACAGAACCATTTGCGTGAGGTTTCGCGATTGTCATAAGCAATTTTTCCATAGAATGAAGTCTTTTCAGAAGTGAAACGTGCAAAAGACTTGTGCTGCCTCAACGATCGGCCTTGAACTTTTCCAAGCACTAATCTTGCCAAGTTTCTATCGTTAACTGCAATTAGTACTCTGACAATGAGTTGATGTGGAGTCTGTGATCAGGCACATGAGAAATAACTGTTTCTGTTTGGATTTGCATTTTTGTCAATAAATCCTGACACTGCAACTCTACTGTGAAATTTAGGCTCCCGCCAGAGTGCCGAAGTTATGCCAGCGCTACGCCAGCATTTCGATCGATACACGTGTATTTCGTTGGGGACGTCAGCTAGCCCCGCCCCAACGAAATAGTGTCCAGGCTAAACCTAACCCCCTCCGATTAGTGTCGATCCTGAATGTAGGCCCCAGAAAAGGGGCATCTGCGTTGGTCCGCTCTTCTAACGTTGTCTCTGAATGGAGATAAGGGGCCTGGAAATCCCTGGCTGGGCGGAGTCTGATATCAGACTCCGCCCAGCCGGACTGCCTCCCGACACGTATTGACATGGTAGTGAGCAGAAGCTGTACACTGCTGCAACTGCACCCATGCAGTTGCAGCTCCTCCTCGCTGGCATGCCGACGGAGACGAGCGATCTGAAACTCGTCCTCGCCCTCAAGACAGGGTCCCCAGAAATCGGGTTTTTTGTGAATTCTGGAAGTTTGAAGTTCGGAACTGTAATCAGGGCCGCGGAAAGGCCCCAGAATGACAAAAACATGGGGGGCCAAATTCTGGGTGGATGCTGCCTTTGAGGCCGCAATGAATATACCGTGTTCGTTATTACCACCTTGAAGACAGACATTTATCAAGAAAGAAACTAGTCGAAAATGACACAAACATTACAGAGAGCTGAAGATTCTGAGAAGCTAAGAAATGAGATGTCCAAATGAGAATCGTTTCAAAACTTTCTAGAATTTCAACACCCGTCGTTCAAATATGGAAGATGGATTGCGTAATTTGAAGCAAACATCACAATGAGAGTCCAGAGCAGATGAAAGTGAAACATGAGAAAAAAACGCATGCATTATTTACATACTTCGTCACAAGCTGAATACAAAATATGTTGCGTACGTACACAACATTTCGACGCGTAATTCTCGAAGGTAACCTTGGTTGTTAATCATCATCATCATCATCATCATCATCATCTTCAATTATACATTCTATGCAACAATCCGAGAATGGGAGATCATAATCAGAGTATGGATCCTCTATTTCGAAAGAGTCTTCGCTTACGTTTACTAATATCAAGTTGCCAGCCTTGTTTCGGATTCCAACGCGAAATCCAGATCGAAAATGCGTCTCCATAAAGTCCGTGAAAAATGGGCTAAATACTGAGACTGAGATTACAGAATTTATGCACTGAAGGTAGGTTAGATCAATTACAGCGTGCGATATACGACTTTCATTCATACATGCGGACTAAATCAAGCTTACTGAAACTACTTACGTTTTAATTAGCTCAGATTCGGGTATTAGTTTAAATCTTCTCAATTTGTAAATCATATCTTCAGTGAGTGCCAACACATTCCCGAGATAGATTCTGTTGAGTCTTCGTTTGCCCTCCACCCACTGCTGTAAAACAACGATGGTATGCAGTTTATCTATTGAAATTGGTCATGTGCAAATGTGAAATGGAAAAATGTTTTCTAAATCAAGGTCTATTCTCAGCGAAGGAAAATACATGACAGGTGCGCTGTGTGCACAGTGCACTGTAGAAATGGAGACTTAGTTAGCCCTCACTATTCGCTTACTAGTTTGACATTTCCGGTCATGGCCGTATGTCTAGCTAAGAACTGACCAGGTCGATTCCCGCCGTTTGACTTTTCTGATTGCTAAGCGGTACCGACTACACATACGGAGTTAGCGCCCGTAGGAATAAGGAATAGGATTAGTAAGTCTGCTCTTTTAAGGTGAGAAATTTTCTGACTCATTCGACAAAAAGAGAAATAAGCCCTGCACATCGGATCCCGCCTACGGCGCTGGGTGGTAGCAAGAACGGAGTCCTCAGGGCACCTTTTGAATCCATGGAGATTGCCTATGCTCTGCACCTACAACGACAGGACAGCCTCCACCAACGCCTACCTCCACACCCTTCGCGATGCCGCAGAGCATATCAAAAGCTATATCATCGCTTTGCAAGAAATGAAAACCAAGATAAGGCATGTGCGACAAATGAGGATGTGACCTCATCATTTGTGATGAGAAAGTTTCATCATGAAACATTGGAAACGTTGACTTCGTCGTCACTTCATCCATCGTCCATCTACCAATTCGCATGAGAACTTGTCATTTCGACTAGCCATCCTACGACTACGACCTCGATGTCAGAAGACCATCACCATCATCAACTGCTACCCCCACATCAGCAGCAAACCAGAACTGGATGCTTTCTACGAAGTCTTTCTACAAGTTTGTTATGGGCGTCAAAGCGAAAATCGTAATGCCATTAAAAGAGTAATATAGGATGAGGACTTTGGATATGATATCCGAACTGAAAGCGGCTTGTTGTTCTCTCCGCCACAGACTCTTCCGTGGGAGTTTCATCTTCATGAAGAAAGGACATCGCAGATGCTATTGAGAACTGCCGAGCGGAACGACTCACGCGGAGAGACCACATTTACACCGAACCGAAGGTGAAGATTGCTTGATGTCTCAGTAGTTGCACTCTTCTGCAGTGACTCCGATCATCAACTCCTTCGAGTGAAGGTTTCGAAGTCGAGAACTGGAAAAGAAGATCTGCCATAGTGCCGCAAGAAAGACAAATCAAGATGTAACAGGTCCATCGAGAAGGTCGATGTACGACACGACCGACTTCTGAAAGGATTGCGAGCCTGCGGAAAGTGGCCTCAAAAGGACTTTGAACGCGTATCGAAAACCAACAAGAAGTTGCTCGAGAGAAGAAGATTTTGAGGTGTGATCCGAATGCAGTCTATATCAAGCGACTGACAACCAACACCAGTTGCAGAACAGTTTTGCGGGAGGACTCAAGAAGTGAAAGCCAAAATAGTGGAAGGAGCGAAGGAAGACGAAGTCTCAAGAAGTGCCGAAGGGACTTCTTTGAATATCGCGTACCGCTGGCTGCATTATCGAACAAAGGCAAGACTCAAACTTTTCTCCGATCTAAGATGAAATCTATTGCGAAGAACCCCCATTCCTCCTCCACTCATCAAGACCTGTGCCGATGCCGTTGTTCCCAGTGGAGAAGCACCACTAAGGACTCTACTTGCTGAAATGCATACCACGTTAGGCCTAAGGCATAACTCACGCGATTTGGCCGAATCGCCACTTTCACGCAAATTGGCGATTTGCCAGATTTCTATAAATTTATCATGCGCACTTCTTGGACGCATATTTGGGTAGCCTGTGTAGTTATTACAAATAGAGCAAGTTCTGACCAAAGGCAGCGCATTAACGACGAATTACGAAGAGTCGATGTTGTGCCAAATCGCGCAGCGAAGGAATCGCGCGAGGTATGTCTTAGGCCTTAGACCAAAGGGTTGGAAAACGTCCACGTCTCCAGAACCGAATCATCATTCCGTCAAATTACTGAGAGCTGGAGGACAACGTCTACACTATATTCCCGCGTCGCACCTGACGTCTTACCTCTAAAAAAGAGAGCATTGCCGAACAGTGGAAAACTTCGAGGGCCGTCTTTCTCTTCGAGAAAGGCGAACGAGAGGATCTTCGAAACTACCGTTCAAACTGCCTGTTGAGCAGTGACCATCCCTATAGGAAAGGGAGGCTCGACAAGGTGGCACTATTTCGCCAAAGCTATTCATCACGGCCTTACAATGGGTGATTAAGGCACTGGGAGGGGACTTTCTCACCCTAGCCAGAATCTCGCCCCTAAATAACGTGTCTGCCAGGCACATTTGGACTTGTTATAATTAAAGGCAGCGTCCAGGCAAGTCTGGACCTATGGGGATTTCACGTGGAAAATACTTTTGGGGCCCTAACTAAGCCACTGCCCAACCGGCAGCTCAGCTAGTGCCCTAACGCCTGAGATATTCCCCTCGAAACTGGAAATCGCGACCGTGTTTCGCATGGATTCATGGCGCAAAGCACAGGTGCGATAAGGTGAGAATGACTCCTCCAGCGTGAAGGGGGTCACAGTGGTCGCAGCCCCTCCAGGTGAAGGGTGTTTTACTTGGTAGAGAAATCATAAAATGTCGACGAGGGGGGGGGAGCCATCATTTTTCCCAGTCAAAGTTCATAATTTCCAATTCCTTACCATCACTGTTTGTCTTTTTTCTGAAATGTGAAGTGATACGCTTGGATTAGCAAACAATTATATTTCTGACCAGCATCTCGTATTTTTTACATTTCCTTTTCCCTTTTTTACATAGCCCTGCCTGTTTTTGGAATTACCATAGATGATTGCATGCGAGAACATATGTTTCGGAAAGAGTTAGACAATTTTTAAGCATTTACGATAAACAGCAACGTCCAAGGTGAATGTTTTTGAAACCACCTTGTCTTCCGCTTTAGAGAATATATATAGTTTGCCTGGAGTCTGTTATAAAAGTGCCTGGTGAAGAGTGTAGGTAGTGAATTCTGGATATTTTCGAGTTTTTAGGTTAGAAAAATCCGTAACTTCTGAAGATGAACATAATTTACGCCGGTATGGCTACCATTGGAACCGCCTCGTCCTCCGCTTTCAAAAAAGGTATAGCATGTCTGAGATCAATTCAAAAAAGTGCCTGGGTGAAGGGTGTGCATGGTGATTTTTGAAGATATTCGATTTTTTATCCTAAAAAATTCATAACTTTTGTAGATGAATATCTTGTACGCCGAGATGGTCACCGCTGGAACCGTCTCGTCCTTCGCTTTCAGAAAATATATACTTTGCCTGGGGTCCGTTGAAAAAAGTGCCGGGTGAAGGGTGGGTGAGACTTTTATAATGGGAGTGCTCAAGTAGACGCCTTTTTACAATGGTAAAAAAGCCTGTACTTGAGCACTCCCATTATAAAAGTCTCACCCACCCTTCACCCGGCACTTTTTTCAACAGACCCCAGGCAAGGTATATATTTTCTGAAAGCGGAGGACAAGACGGTTCCAATGGTGACTATCTCGGCGTACAAGATGTTCATCAAAAGTTATGAATTTTTTTTAGGATAAAAAATCGAATATCTTCAAAAAACACCATGCACATCCTTCACCCAGGCACTTTTTTGAATGCATCTCAGACATGCTATACATTTTTTGAAAGCGGAGGACGAGGCGGGTCCGATGGCTACTATTTCCTTGCACCAGCTATTCATCTGCAGTAGTCACAGATTTTTTTATCCTGAAAACTCGAAAATTCCCAGAAATCACTGGGCACATACTTCACCAGGCACTTTTTTAAACTTATCTCAAACATGCTGTATATCTTCTGAAAGCGTAGAACGAGGCTTTATCTAAAGTTATGATTTTTTTATGTCAAAAACACAAAAATCTCCAGAAATCACTAATCACACCCGTCACCAAGCACTTTTTTCAACAGACTTCTCCTTTTTTATACATTGACAATTCACGTACAAATATCTCATTTGCTTAACCTTACCTTACTGTTGCTTTTTTTTCTCGGCTTTTGGTGAAGGGGGTCACCTTAATCCCGGCTCAGGGGTGAAGAGGGGGTGAGAAAAGTCTCACACTATCGCACCTGTGGCGCAAAGCGTGGATCCTGGCGCGAAACTGCCATGAATCCATGCGAATACGTTCGCGGGGGCCAGTTTCGAGGGGAATATCTCAGCCATTAGAGCACTACCTGAGCTGCCGCTTGGGCAGTGCCTTAGTTAGGGCCCCAAAAGTACTTTCCACGTAAAAGCCCCATAGGTCCAGATCTGCCTGGACGCTGCCTTTGAGATCTCCTCGTAATACCAATTTATCACAAGTTCCGCCCACGCAACCATCTTGGTACCCAGATAAGGAATGCTTCGAAATTTAGGAAATTATAGACTCGAAGATCATCGAGGCTGGCTCATGCCACAAAACGTTATAGTAGAACTAGAAAGTTCGGAATGGTATCAAACGATAAGGAAAAACAGCCTTCTTGCCCATGGAAAGCAATTAATTTAAATATGATCAAACTTTTGGATTATTACCTAATCAAATTACATGGGAAAGTCACGCAAAAAGAGGGAAGACTCTACAATGATTGGATAAGAATAACACCATTACTATAAATCTCTTTCATATATCGCAGATAGGTCTGATACTTTGATTTATAGTGTGCTACTCTATAATGATAGAACTGCAAAATTAACTAACAAGGAGAGGATACTTAGTCGAAAGCGCCAATTCAGTTGACACATATATCGTTTTAAAGCGCTTGAAATGCTGATTACAAATCCGTTGTTCCTAGCTGCGGAACGGTTTTCTAGAAGGTGTTATGAGGGATGTTTCCCTCTGGGGTTGAAACGCCCTCCAGCAGATCCCCCCTTATCTATGAGCACTTTGGAGGAGTACAACTGGCCTGGTGGTAATTGACTTGCTTGATAAGGAGAGTGTCGAAGTTTTAGTCCCCTTCGTATGCAACTTTATCGCAACTTTTGCGAAGTTGAGCTTCTAAATGGCTTTAAAGCCTGAAATTTCTGATGATACTGGTGCTAATCGACGTTAGAAGTGTTTGAAAAGCTAAAATAACATGAGTATTACGATCCTTATTAATCTCCATTCAATTACTCACCATTAGACCAGTCATCATTAGTTGCTACTCCTCTACAGTGCTCATAGATAAGGGAGACCTATTGGAGGGCGCCTCAACTCCAGAGGGAAACAGCCTTCATAACTTCTTCAACAAAACCGTTCCGCAGCTAGAAACTATAGATTTGGAATCAGCGTTTCAAGCGCTTTGAGATGATATATGTCTCATCTGGATTGGCGCTTTCGACTAAGTATCCTCTCCTTGTAAGCTGTTTTCTCGAATCTCCAAAGCAAAAGTATCCCCATTTTTATATTAAGTCGTTCCGAAAGTAATGTCGCTTTTTTCAATGAGCACCACATTTCGTGGAATAAAGATTTCTAAGAGATCTTGCCAGCATTCGATGCAGCATTTCATCTTCTTTTTAGTACCCACATGTTGCAGTATAGCCAATGAGCTCTCGGAAAATGAGCATTATCTGCATCCCATACTTTTTGAGATGATCAACTTTAACATTTAAAAAAAATTTAGGTAGCAACACGATAGAGCAAACCTTAGAGAATACAGAACAACTTTTTTATCTTCTTAATATCTCGCCATAACTTTGAAAAAAATTGCACTGAAACCATTGGATTTTGGCAGGCCTAAATCAGCCATAAACGCATCAAACACCAATAATTCTTCGGAATTTGAAACTTCCAAGATGTTACTATGATTTAGCACTTTACAAAACAAATGAGAATTAGCGGATTCGAAATACCAAATTTCGAATTTTTCGTGTACAGCCTATGGCGCGTTAAATCATGAGTTATGATAATTTGATCTTGAACTCTTCACGAGATTTTATCTTAAGATTCTATCAAAAAAATATAACGAGTCATGAAAAGGAGAGAAAAATTATTTTGCATCCTATGGGGTCGCTCTATAAATACGTTACTTGGAATCCTTCGGAGGTTTGATATAAAACTTTAAAAAATTAACAAACTTGACAATCTGAAAAAGCATGGTTCGCAGATTTTGTTAATTTTCCGAGGGCTCAAATTACGCTGCAATGATGACATGACCGTCGATAAGAGAATGAAATGCTGCATCGAATGCTACCAAGGTCTCATAGAGATCCTTGTTCCACGAAATGTGGCGTTCATTTGGAATAAGGACATTACTTTTGAACGACCTAATATATACGAGGATATTATGATATATAAATGTATATAGTAAAGTGGTCAATGGCGCTGGTAAATTGATTGGAAGATATGGCTAAACACACAACAGTCTCAGCACCCTTATGGCTGTTTTGACTGAAGGTGGTTATTATCATCTTTTCGAGATAGCTTCAAGGGAAAAATCAATGCGGAAGCATATATTTCATTTGCCAGTCTAAATAACTTGATTTTTATGAAGAAAACATCTTTTGTCTCCAACCAAAAAAATCAAATCATCATTTCCGCAAAAAGCAGTCTCGAGAATCCGTTAGCCTCAATTGTGGCCTTGGTTTGGAGCACCTTGAATCCCCTCCCCCCTCCCTCGATGGTTTGGACCCGCTTGGACATTATCGGTGCAAAGCCTTGACTTTGCAACAAGCAAAAGTCACTGCTGAAAAAACCTGGAGAACCCCTAATCCAGAATTTGGTCTTGATTAAGCGATTTCGCCACTAAATTTCAATTTTGAATCTTTCTTTGGAATCCCATCTTCAGTATCCTAAGCGATTATTGGGTAGCGGGAGGAGCCTGCTATGTCGTGATATCCTGCTGAGCACGTATTTATAGGAAAGGCCGAGTATGCCTTGCAGACACACCACTCAAATGCGAGAATATGGCTTGGGTGAGAAATTGTCCGCACCCGCGTACCAGTTGGTGGGAGATTGTCCTGTCGAATCTTGGTTCTAAACGCCACATTGTACTCTTTTCGAAAAGTACCACTGAAGCAGAGACGATGGCGAAGGAAGTTAACGAAGTAGGCACGAAGACTGGGTTACGAATAAATCAGAAGAAGTCTCAGATCCATTAAACACCCTTTGCAAGATGCAGAAATGAAACTGGAAGGTACTCCTATCAAAGAGACGTCTTTTTACGTGTATCCATTCGATGAACATAAAGAGCCACTTGAGGGGGGAACTTAACAGGAGAAGAAGAGCAGCCTCGGCCGCCTTGTGGCCCCTGAAGAAAGCCGCCGATTAACTGACGAACCCGGAGCTTCCTGCGCACCTGTTCGACTCAACTGTTCTCCCGGCGCTCTGTTACGCAGCTGAGACTCGGCCCGACACTGTAGCCACATCGAAAGCTCTATGGACCACCGACAGAGCGCTTGAGCGCAGTCTTCTAAAGATGAGCCGACAAAAACAACACCTTGTCGGACTTCGTAGTACGGGTTTGAAAAGAATGTCCCGCCTTCGTGACCCAGCGGAATACGTTGCGAAAGCGAAACATCGATGGGCCGATCATATCATGAGAGGAACAGACGACAGATGGACACCAAGGACACTAAGGAGATATGAGTGGACTCCTTGTAAACCAAAACTTTCCCAAGGAATACCACTAACGATATGGAGACGTGTTCGGAACACATGAATCAGCTGAGAAATCAACTGGATACGATTTTTGCACGTGGAAGTTGTGGGCACAACCAACGAGACAACCATGAGGATTTTGGATGTCTGAAGCGAGGGACAGGGATCACTGGCTACTTCTGAGCTGGGGCCTGCAGGTCATGTGAAGACGGACGAAAGTATCTAAATAAGTGTCTGTGAACGGCCTAGGTAGCCCAACCCCACAGGTCCTCGCCATATTTTACGTCGAGCCCACCCCCGAGTGACGATTTGCTTGGAGATCTACTTTAAGAAAGCATGAAATCCCCAAATCCTCAAACTACTTACTGTTCTAAAGGCAGAAGGTTCTTTAACGAGAAATCGGTGTCTTCAGTAGATAAGCATAGCACAATCACATAAGAATTACCATGATCAATCTGATTAGACCTTCTTCCGATATTGAGCGTGCAAAAGGAATATAAATCCAATAAGCTTTGAGGCAAAGAAGTTGCTCATCGCTGATAAGACATTCTATACAGATCATGAGAAATGGAGCTGTTTTTACCTGGTTAAAGACGGCTTCAGATTACTCTGACCAGCTCATGAAAGTATGTACACTTACTAATTCGGAATCAAATATCGCAGAATCAATGGCTTCTTCTTCATCATCGCGAGTTTTGAACGGATAAATTCGAAGTCCACATCCACGATTCACAAAGGGGAAAAGCAATTTCAGAAAAGAAAAGCGACAACTCTTTATAGCAAGCGAGCTACATGTGATCAGATGTTTCAATGGCAGATTTTTGAGCACACTTTCGAACCCTTCCACTAAATCCTGCAAACTTTTCACATGTTGCAACTCAGAGCACAGCCCTAGACGTATACATACCGTATACAAATATATGAACACGTGCTCTGCGTTCAAATGCTCCACAAATCGTAAAAACACTTTCGTAGAAGCAGTATATACTGAGTCAGGATAATATAGTTCCGGATATGATTCCTGTATCAAATCACGCTTCTTCGTCTTTGTCATAATCCTAAATTTTATCAATCAATGCTATGCATCCTCGACCTAGTGTCGCTCTTCTTACTCCTTTCGCGTGCACCCTCCGCCCTCCTTGTAGGAAAAGTCGAAACCATGACGTAGCACTCCTTGTCTGTCATCGTGATTCATACGCGGCATGTAGCAAACTTTGACCGAAGCGCGAAATTCATCAGGCGTCTTATCACCACGCTACAAAAAATGAGTTCGTATGCAACGATTTCAACATGCATAGCTTTTGCTTCCAAAAATTCTTAAAATAATTCTGTACCATCCCTTGTGATAGTGCCTTAGCGAAATGGCATGAACCGGAATCCTCATATTTGATACCAAATAATTGCACTCCTTGCTCAGACACATGAAGTCTCTCAGATTTTGGTAGGAACAATAGCGTAAGACTTTGATTTTCAGATGACGCGGCAGCATGTTCCAGTATGTAAAATGCTCTTCAAATAGATCAGTATCAATTTTCGAGAGGAAGTCCTCATGTTGTTCCATGCAGTTTCGGAAGTAAATTCACGAACTTAACCTGGAAGCTTCAATTTGAAAAGTTGGCTTTGGTGCTATGTAAGGAACGTGGCAAAGAGCTGATATAGGCTAGTATCGTTCCACTTTCCTGAATCAAAAGTTATCCTCATGTTTATTTGAAGGAGAAGGCTCATTGCATTGCCAACAATATTTACATAAAAGGTGGTAGATTGGTAGAACTAGCTTTTGCCTCTAATCTTATTGAGTGCCTCCTTCAAGTAAGAACCTTCTAGAGAAAGAGCTTCAAGCACCAGCATGCTAAGTTCTCACAAAAACGCTAAATCTAGTGTTGGTAAAAACGACGATGATGAAAGCAAGATTCAGCAGGAATATCTACAGTGACAAGCTTCAAAAAATACATTGTTAAGGAAAGCAAGAGCGAATCAAAGCTAAAAAACGTAGCTAATCTGAAGCGAAAGCCATGGTCTCAATGCTAAAAACTTGATATCTTTGAAAATTGTATATAATTACATCAAAGTTATTTCTCGTTTTTTAGAGACATAGAATCGCACATTCACTTTTTTCAGTAGGCACCATAACCTTGGTTCTTGTTTAGAAACTCTTTGAATACCCGACGAATTTCTAGTCGCAAATCTAAAAAATGCTTGCTTGGAATTTTGTCACTTCCAATTCCTTGTACGTACGCACGAAATAATCGGAAGCTCTATATCGCGTGACTCGACTTGGCAATAAACTACTTATTACCAATCCCCCCCCCCCCGAATAGAGGAGAAACTTTATTACTTACTTTAACGAGTCATGAGCTTATCATATCAGTTGTTTACGCAGATTAGTCTAGAGACTTCGCACAAGGCAGAAAACAAGAACTTAGCTCTCAAATTCCTGAAGCTTTGTTAAAGGTTGTTTTGAGTTTTGGACATGTAATGCAATAATGTTGATTGCAGGAATTGAATTAAATCTGCCTTTAATGATTACTTCATGTCTATAATGTTGCGAAAGCACTTTTCCTCAATGTAAAATACCATTCTATGAATTTTTGGACAGAATGTGAAAAGTGTTCGTTTGGTTAACTGTCTCCGACTATAACCAATAAAACTTAATACTCAAAATTGCAACTTCCAGTGGTTTCTAAGCAGTATAGTAGGATGCTGCCATGCAAATGTTCACCTACTTGTTAGGAGGAAAAGAACTTCGCTTTAATTCAGTGTTCGACGGGAAACGTTACAGGTAACAAACATTCGGAAACTCAGAGCACTGGGTAATAGCAGCTGGATAGAGAACGCATTTTCCTTCTAGAACGCCATATTTGGCAGATCAAAACTTTTACAGAAAGCTGTGTCTGCTGACTGGATTCATCACTACACAAAAGCTAAGACGCTATGTTACTCTATCAGATATTCATGTGAGAAAAAACGAATGCTTTCAATTCTTACCTATTGATACCATGAGCGCCAATGGAAAGCGATAGAAGGCACTTATTACATGAGTTTTAAACGATTTTCGTCCTAGCCTCTGTTGTCGGATATATGCTTCATGACTATTTTCGTCCGAAATGAAAAAGGCACAAAGGAAGTTTCTACTCCAGGGCCTCCACAAACACTATAAACGATTCAATGCTCACAGCAGATTTTACATTATTTGGAAAAATTTTAGCCACGCTATACTGCAGGACTACGTATGCTGTAGACGAAGTAAACTCATACAATTGTAAACTCGTACAGCATTTGTTAGGCTGCACACATTTGCTAAGCATTTGCCTTCAAAGACAGTTTCGAAAATTCAACTCAAGTTTGCATTGGAAGCCGCCATAGTCTTTCTTCTTTTTGTATGCTTGTGTAGTGTACTTTGCCATACATGAAATAATCTACCTTTGGGAAAAACAAAAAGCGAAGTTATCGAAAATTCAAATTTTCGAAATTTGCGATTAGCACAAAATTATCTTAGTTAACCTAGTTGCAAGGTTAGTAGTTTCTGAGCCTATTAACATTTTAGCGATCGAAACTTGAAAATAAAAATATTGGGTTGGTTCATAATTGATGCACGTTTTTGCTACCTCTGCTTTCAAACGCTAGTTTTAATCTGAAGTCGCTTTTCTCCAAAACCCTCTGAACTTTCGAAAAGCACGTTTCTTGTAGTCTCTGAGATACACTTCCGTATTCGGAGATCTTTGTTGAAACCGAAATTTCGTGCCTTCAAAGGGAGAAACTCAGACTTTAAATTTTTTCTTTACATTCGAATTGCCCTAAATCCATGGAAATGCTCAAATTTGTTTCGAAAAATATGTTTTATAGTCGCGAAGATTTGTGCTACAAAATGCACACCAAGGCTAAATTTTTTGAAAAATCTTGAGCCAAGAAGATTTGACTCAAATTTAGCTGTTTGCCGAGATCACTCTGAGCTTTATAGTATATTTAGGTGAGGAGCAATTGCAGAACTTTCACTTCGCTCTGTAGAGTAAACCAAGAGCTACTAATGTTAGGAAAACGGCAGAATCTCCTCGTTTTTTCAAAAAAAATTGGAGGAATCTAAGAAACACAGATTCTTGTCTTCTCTAAAAAACAGGAAATATGGTACTCTTACTTTCTTGCAATATTTTTTTCGCAGAAAATTTCTGGTGAAATCAAGTTTCACACTACTTTTGAATCGACCATCGGCTATACAAAGCGAAGTTCGCTCCATTCTAGTCTTTTTGACAGTAAGTTATGCTCTTTCAAACTAGAGCATTCTCGGTAATTTTTGAGCCGAAAAATCTTTCCCGTCGTGAGTAGTTAAATGTTTGCTGTTTGAGTCGTTTTTGATAAGAATTATCTTGATTAAAAGTGGAAGTTGTCAAAAGGTGCATTAAGTATGAATCAACCTAATACAATACGGAGATGCCTATCATTAATTTATCATTTGTGCCACGATGTAAAAACATTTGAATTTGTTTGGGCACTATCACAAACTAAGATGCTTCAAATCATGCTATATTGAATATAATTCGAATCTGGAGAAGATTACAGATTCCCAAAAATTTTGTTGCAAATTAATGTGATCACCAACTAGCGCACATGACAAACATTGTACACAATACACAGGCTCATTGCAAACATATTGATAGCCATTCTGTTATTTTAGAGGTGAAATCCTGAAGCGAAATTGTATTGGCCTGAACTATCCCTAGTACCAAATTACAGTACACACATCACATAAACATACATGGATTGCGTTGAAATCTCCGCGAAAAATTATGTAAAAAGGGTTGATCAAAAATGGCACGCAACTCAGAGCTTCACATGTGCATACTCTGAATACAAATTCAGTTGTTCAGTTTTTACCTTAGAAAATTTAAATATCATGTGATAGTTTTGTGAATGGTTCTGATCACGAATATGGGATTAGTGAGATCGCCCGATAGTAGTTTTCAAACTCAACGATTTTATGCAAAGATTCTACTGTACCAAACGTTATTCTAGCAATCTAACGACGACTTGATGTAAAATTTGTGATTACTGCAAGAAAAGCAGTTTTCTTGAACCTGCGTTTTGTCAGCTTATCTCGTGACCACCGCACCCTACCGCGGGACGCAAGGATTTAAAAGATTCGTATTAGTTATCAGCATATCAAAAGTTGTCTTTTTCATAAATGCTTCAAAAAGTTGTGGGGAGCAGTTTCGATTCAACCGCCAATCCGTAGGCCGTATATTTCACGATAAAAAAGCTGTGGTTCAAAATGGCAAAAAAACCAAAAGTTAGAGAATTAGAACCGTTCCATGACGTCGTTTTAAAATTTCAACCCACTCAATTATTTTAATACTGGAGATATATTGCATGAATGGCAGCTAGCAATCATCCACTTTATGTACTCAAGGCTTTTGAAGTCTTCACGCAAAACAGAGCACACAGTTCATAAATAAAGCTACTCTGACAGTTTTTCGTTCATTCAAAACAGATTATAATTACAGCAAAATGATGTGAAGCAAAAGATAAAAATGAGACCTTGGATTAGAAGAAAGTAAAGATTGCGAAAAGAATGAAGGACTTGATATATAAACTTCAACAAATTACCAAAAATCATGACAAGAAATTTATATCAAGTCCAAGCAGTAAAGTTTAGTACAGAGCCCTCAGAATTAGTAGCACAACGAGTTACGTGCACAATAGTACAAAGAACGGCAATAGATAATGAAAGGCTGGGCATTTTGAAGATCAAGCAAGGCTGGAACAAAAAAAGGTAAAAAAAGTTCACAGGCACCGTAAAGAAATACATTCACTGGATTGTTCCATTGACTCGAGCCATCAACGGCAAAAGATCGATTGTTATAGATCACTACCCAACAACACTGATCCAAATCATAATGGAATCATGCTTTCTGTGCAAGGAAGTAAATGTGATCCACTGGCAGAATTTCAAACTTACCTCACCGTTGCTGGATTCTGCCACACCACTTTTTCTTTCCTCTAGAGGTTTCATTAGACTTGCTATTTGATTTGATTTCAATTCAACTTACATTTGCTCCTGCATAGATCGAGGCTGGATTTTGCAATCAACTAGTGTCAAGGTAGTACAAAATTCTAAGGTCATGCTTTTTGGGAAAAAGTATTAGAATGAATTTTTCATGTCGAGGTTTCTGTGGCTGAACTACTATTATATGAATCTTAAACTGACCCATGGCGCAGTTCGTATTGAACTCCTTTTCATTTTTCAAGAGCCGCTGAACAACTTCAACTCCAGCCTTTTGTATGTCCGATTTGCTTTAGGTCACTGCTACTTACCCTATTTTTAGAGAGTCTTTCAATCACTTCCTATTGAAGACGCCACTCTTTTATTCTTGGAATCCATTGATTATCGACGAAGCTGAAGTTTCTTTGTCCTTGCATCCCAAACATCTCTTCAGACTATCGTTAGATGATGGGACAGATGTTTTTGCTTTGTTTCTTATTCATTAGCAGAGTATAAATTGGTATATTTTCTTTATTTTTCCTTGTTCAAGCTCTCTACGGACTCAACTCGTCCTTCTGACGAGATAGTAAAAACTTCTTTTCTGCTAAAACGGCTAACTCGGCTA